ATTATAGGCCCAGTGAACCAGGGAACTCACACTGCTCTGCTCTGCTTCAGTCCACACTGCCGCCTATACCTCCAGCCAGCTCAGCAGGTTCATTAGTCTGACAAGGGTATCCACCAAACCAGACAGCCCACATCTCACATGTACAGCCCACAGTCGCAGGCTTTACTTCTCGACCCACTATTGTGCTGTGATGAAAAAGCTATTGCACACGTTAGCAGCACAAATGTCTTACATACTAAAGTCTAAGAGACAGAAACCTAAAATGTATCAGCTTATAATAAAAAATATACTGCACTGCCCGAACAGTTATTCTCAGTTGGGATTGGAAAGGTTGAAATTTTCAAATCACAAAAATGATAACTTTCACAAGCTGCAGCAAAAGATGAAGTTAAAGCTGGAAGTTGTTGAATTTTTGTGCGCTAAGATGACGACTGCAAATTTACTCAGTTATAGTTAATTAACTTTGATTGTTTTCATATAGACAAAACATCATATAAGAAATTGTGGCTGTTCTCAAGTCAGGATGATTCCTTTCTGCAAACAAATGTCTGCAAGGGTTGTGTCTGTAAAGCTACATGAGGACTGATGTGATTTAAAAGTTTGAAAATATAAACAAGGAATTATGCGATTTGTTTTTCATACTTAAACCTAGAAATCTGATCCACAGCTGTGATGCAGCACTGGAACATTGTTCGTGGTATCAGTCTGAGTTGCTAATTATCATTTGGTTATTACTATCATTACTGTCCAACTTTGCAGTTGAAGATGAAGTCATTTCAAATGTAATAATTACAGTGGAAAACTATTGAGCAATGTCAAGTATGTCTCACTCAACAATGAGTGAGACATAATCTTTGGCTTGATTGATAGAGAAGCAGAGTTACCCCTTCCCAGCTGTTAGTCTTCCAACTAGTTAAGTGGCATTCAGTGTTTCCCACAGAATTAATTCCATCTGTGGCACTAGTACAGATACACGCACTTGAAAGATGCTCTCATGTGCAAAGTAATCGGTGAGCAGACTTAACTGTGAAAGACGAGTTCTTGTGTGGGAAAGCGAAAATGCAGCTGAAACTATAAATTCACTCTCTGCATGGACAGTAAAAATTTTTATGGACGATGGCGCGAGCACCCTGCAAATAGCACAATGTAGCAATAAAACATGTTTGTTTCATTGTGAAACGGACAAATTATGGCCAAACACTGGGGATTTTACATTCATGTCCGTCAAGACTCATATATGTAGCAAAGACTTTCTAGATTTAATCAAAGATATTAAAAGTCCAGTGAGTAAGATTTAGCTGAAAGGGAACTATCGGCAGAAATTTAATGTAGAATAATCCTCATGATGTTTTCAATAGTTCATTTCATCTAAATTGTATGAATTGTAGTGTTCTTTACCCCTTTATATTTAAATACTTTATATTTACATTCTCTACAGAGGCTGCCATGTTTTTTACATTAGTCCAGGCTGGACAAACTAAACACTTTTTGAGTTTTTATGACAACTAAAGGCTACCACAGGTTCTTTTTCCCTTTTTGGCAGGAGAGGGTGAGGTGAGGGGTGTTCAGCTGCAACATGCAATTTCAACACTACATTTCACAAAATCCTCACACTGTACCTTTAAGTATATTTTAGTTTCTGAACTCTTGAGCAAAGGCCAAAAACGTGTTTTTATGAGGTCACACTGACCTTGACCTTTGAGCACTTATCATTCATCCTCTAATCCACATAATGTTTGTACCAAGTTTAAAGAAATTCCCTCAGGGGTTCCTTTCATGGTTATAGAAATGTTTACTTTTCAGACTAATTTAATGAGAAGAAAAAAAAACGTTTGAGCTCCACACCAACAAACAGATGCTATATACAATATGTTTATAATTATGCTTGGCACACTCCTCTACATTTGCATAGAGAAACTGCAATTATTTGTGTTTCACAAGTTGTTGTATAATTATAAGATATCTGTAGGAAGATGTGAGGATGATGGAGCCCTGTAGGTTGAGCCTGAACAGGTACCACATGTGGGAGTGAGGTGTATTAAAGTGCGCTGTTGCAGATTGATCAATCCGACAGAGATCCAAGCCATAGTTAGGTGATTTGCTAACTTATTGATTTGATTGTGAGACTTTGATGTATTTGTGTTGGTCCACGGTTCTAAAGTGAAGCTTGTTGTGTGTGTGTGCAATCCAGTGTGTGGCTGGCAGCTGTATTTTGTGGTTTTCTACCAATACACAAACAGTCCTCTCGGTTTTTGGAAAGTTCTCAGAGTGTTATCGATTACTTCCAACCCCACTGGGCCTTGCTGGCTTCTCTGCTAAACTGTGTGTGTGTGTGTGTGTGTGTGTGTGTGTGTGTATGTGTGCATGCATGTGTGCATGCATGGGCCACGTGTGTGGAAGTGGAGGGAGACACAGACACATGTCCTGTATATATGTGATGGGTTGGTGTGTTTGTGAGGGGGAAATCGTTACAGTGAGACAAAAAACAAATGGATAAAACTCAGTTCATGGCTGATTTAAGAATGATACCAAAGAAACAGATATAGCAAACAGCCCTATAAGAAATCTAGCTGGCATCCCCTGAAAAAAAATCAATATTGTTGTTTTTACAGCATAAATGTACATCTCCTGTTCTCTGTGCTTCTTATGTGAGATCACTCAGTTTCTCCTGAGCTGATATTTAAACCCATTTTTCAGTTTAATATTCCTCACATTGCTGAGGCAGTAATGGTGAACAGCCACCTTGACTAATCTCAGTTTCCCATCTTTAATACCATAATTCTGTGACTCACGGTGGCCATTTTGTTCTTACTAAATGTCCCATTTTCATACACATGAATTAAACACATATCTGAGCATGCATAGTCCCACTTTAGGTTTTCTATAATCCTGTGAATTATATTTCATGGCTGATTTTTCAAGTTGCAGGCAAATCTTCATTCCACTCTGACTGGCCTCCACCTGTTATAAAACGGCACGGGTGACGGCACACCTACAGCAACAAATCAAACACCGCAGAGTTACCAGACAAATAGTCAGGGATGTTTTGTAATATCAAAACAAACAGAGACCACAAGAGATCTCTATTACCCGATCCCTCCCCACTGAGTCTGAAATGACTGTCAATACAGCAAGGCTGCAGATAAATGCTCAGTGTTACTGCTCTCAAGATTACGGAGAGACAGACACACACATAGAGAAAGAAAATGTATGTGTGACAGCAAAATAACAAGTGCAGAAGAAGGAGACAGGTAGATGTGCGGAGCGGAGGGGAGAGATAGCAGCATTAGTCATTTCCTCACGACCTCTTGTCTCATCCGACGTCTCCTGACTCTGTTACCCGGAGGGTTATGGGACATATTTGGGAGTTTACAGTCTCAGGCATAGTACTCAGATGACTTTATTCATCTGTTCTTGAGGAAAACTGGAAAAAATCAAGCTCTAATATCCTTTATTCATCTCATCAGATAATTGTCCTTGCATGGATTATTTTATTTTTAGATTCACAGGGCACACACATTAAAACACATCACAATAAAACCCAAGGAAGATGCATTTGCTATTCATGTGACCTTTTAAGTAATTACTGTGGGACATGTAGTCAAACTGGACAAATACTCCATCTCATATACCAATGAAAATCAGCCAACTGTAATATATGAAAGATTTATTGCAGCCTTGTCTTAATCGATACTAATGACTGATGTAATTATACCTTATACAGAGCACTGAAACGCAGCCCGGTTCAAATGCCACCGTAAGAATGACTCAGACCGAGCCATAGAAATAAACAAAAGCACAGGGCAGGGAGACAGGAAGCCCAGTATCATGTGACACCGGCCAAGCTTTGAACATTACAAGAAAATGTTTAAGAAATGTGTTTACCTCTGTGCTGAATGCCACAATCCACCAGGAGAAGAGCAGCTCAGAGAAAATGCATTTATAATGCAGTAGTTTGGAGTGAGCTTGGTTGTTGTAAAGCATTAGGAGGAGAAAGAGATGGATATGTGTGAAGCAAAACTCATTACCCTCCAAATTCTATTCCCTGCTGTTACCTCTCCTTATATCTGCTCACTTATTTGGACCATAAAGCAAAGACGGCTGCTCCAAAGCAACCAACACATGTAAGAATGTATCATCCCTGATTTAATCTACTTGCAATGGCTCTGGAAGTTCACACCAGCACCTTGAGTCAACATAATTACCCAATGATGACGCATAAATAACTAAAGCCCTTCCTCAAGTCTCATTAGGCGGAGGTAAACCATGCTGGGTGAGTTTCCTAAAGGTGCCAAGCTTTATTGGCCCCGAAATTCGATTCCAGCGCAGCCCCTTTTCCCCTATGGGCTGCCAATAACCCTCTACTGACCTTGTGAAAACACATCGACTATTCCCCAAAGTGAGCCTGACTGCCTGCCTGCTTGACTACAACACCACGCACGTCCGCTCCCGTCTCAATCCATCCGTGCGGAAGACATGCCTAAACACCTCTGGAGTGTTAATAGCCACGGATGGAGGGTGTCCGTGCGCGTGTGTGTGCCATGTTTCGAATCTTAACACCACAGATGCGAGCCCACCATTAAATCACATTCAATTTACGCACAGCCCAAAGGATGAAATGTGAGATTGTCTTAAGGTGGAAGACGGAGCCAAGATGCGCAAATATCCACCGGCCTATACGCACTCTATATACTAATCCCCCTGCCGTGATTTCAGCTCCGTCCTGCTCACTTCTTCTGTTTGCAACCTGAGTCATTTGAGACTAACACGTCCGAGCCTGGAAGTAACCAGGGATTTAGTGATGTACGGCTGGATTTAGACGTTGTGGCAGGAACAGAAGTGCCAGAGCCCGGGGAGTCGGGGAAGAAAAAAAAGAAAAGCTCATTTGCAGCTACACTGTGCAGAGATTCACCCAAGAGCCACATCACCAAACTCGGCGTGGTAACACTGCACCAACAGATGCACCACTCCTTCAACAACACCGTGCGTAAATTACATACCTGGTTTTTATGCCGAGTACCATCTTCGAGTTCAGAAGAGCTGTTCATGATTCCCCATCAGTCATTTACCATCCTACGGAGAATCTGCGCATCAGATCCGCCTGCTTGTTCCAGGCAAGACAGAATAAACCCGCGTTTTCTTTCAAGTGTTTATCACCTTCTACCTACTCCATAAGAACAAAACTGGACAATCAACGCAAAAAAGGGAGGCACAAGTACTTCTGCGGCCACACACCGCACGAATTACGCACCAAAAATGGAACTCCTGAAAGTGTGATCGCTTATGATCTCGTCGTTATTCCAAGCAAACAAATACAAAATTACATGTTCCAGGGTTTGCAACTTGACTCACAAATGCATCACAGTTATAGTGAACTTGAGAAAAATGTAACCCGAGAGAGATCCCGATGCGCAGTTTCTTTTTATTCCAATAACAAAAAAAAGAAATCGACCAAAGCTTCTTTGGCTCAGATTGCAAAGTGCAACCAGACCGCTGTGTCCATCCGGTTTCCAGGAGAGTTTGAGCTCAGCCCAGACTGATCACTAAAGAAAACGGGTAAAGACAGGATGGGATAGGGGGTCGCAGAGCTGCTGCTCGCGTCCGCTTATTCAGCGAGAAGACTCCGACACCGGTGCCCAGGGGATTGGCAGAGCTGTCCTTGCTTTTCCTCGGATGATCTGTCCGGTACTTCGCAGAGATGCTCTCGACAAAAACGAGTATAGGACGAGATTAGCTGTGCAGCGTGGGGCGCCCCGTGCCCCGGATTGTCAATGAATGCGTCCCCTTCCGTACGCGCGGCGCGCTCCAAAGCGAGCGAGCTGTTCCTTCCCTGCGCCCGCCTGCCCTCGACTGCTGCGCCGCTGACACCCCGCCTGCTGCTGCGTCTTCTTCACCCCCCCCACCAGCACCGCACCGTGGACCCTCCTATTCCACTGCAACCCAAACAGCAGCAGATTGTGGAGAAACGTGTAGACTACAGACTGTGTAATGGGTTAGTGTAACATAAACCCTGGATCGGATGGCTGAAAACAAACCTCCTGAAGAATCAGTTTAGGGTTGCAGCGCGTCGTGGGCGCCACGACGTGTAGTGTACAATTTTATACCTGAGCAGGTTTTGGTGATCAATCACTAATCGATCAATGTGTTAATTACTGGGTGGGACATCACCTACAGAGCTTCTAATGGGAGTGACAGGTTTTAGAAGTGTACAGCTGTCTGATAGGGAGTTTAAAGCCAGGGAAACCTTATACTTGGAGAAAAAAGAAGGAGATGAAAGAGAATATCAAACTGAAGCAACTGCCTCATTTATTTAATAGAAATCAGATTTAAAAACAACCAGAGCTCTTCCCTGGATTCACAGGAGTTTACCTGAGGTGAGCTCTGGGATGACTGCACACTGACTGGGTTGGTGAGTACACTGAATGGGAACTGACAGTGCAGGATGGCCATTAATGGACATACAGTTATATCTACATAGTGTAGGAGTCCACTTTACAAAAACATTGAGAATGTCTCAGAATAATATTTAGTGAGTCTCACCTAAGAACTTTTTTTCCAGAGGCAGATTCCATAATTTACTTGTGGTGCAAGGTCATTATTGATTATATCTCTATTATTAATAATAACATTATTATCAATGTACTTCCTTCTGTATTTATCCATTTATTGTCTTGTTATGCAGAAATAGCATGTGTTCAAAAGTTAGTTGTAATGGAGAGAAATGTACCAGACTGAGTTTGAGCCTTTTTTTTAGAAGCAGGACTTAGTTTGTCTCTTCTTCATCTTAAAGTAAATGCTCCCATTAAACCATTGATTATTGATAAGGGATTATCACAGGAAACTTGATCAACTCTGCTCAATCTAAATGAACTAACATGCCTACAGAAATCAATTCCCAGTTTTCACTGCTCTCACTTCTCAAGTGACAGGCAGCAGAGCGGCACACAAAGACCCACCCCCCCTTCCTCCTCTTGCACACAGAGTCATTACTGTCAATACCCACAAGAGTGGCCACATGTTTATTTTTGCTCAGTTAAGGTAAGTTTGATGGCCGCATCATTAGAGGTGTAATCACTGGTGCAGGCACCGGGGCACGAGTGTGATTACTCATCCCTGTGAGGAATCCCAGCTCACAATGTGGGGGAGTAAGGGTGGAGTAAAGAGGGAGGTGGAGGTGGGGGGATGATGCAAATACGGTCACTGCTGCACAATGTGTGTTGTCAGCAGGTCTGACATCCAGTCGCGGAATTGAAGTGGAATAATAGATTGTCAGGGACGACGGCACATAGGGAGGAAAGCAAATCAAATGTTACAAGGTGTAGTTTTAAACTTGTTTTTTACTGTCTCAAATAAGTCATTAAAGAAATGGTCTTATGGAATCAAAAATCAGCAGAATCAGATTAGAATACAGACTTTACAGCACCTGCTGATACACACAGCAGTGATAGTAATGATACTACACCTGGATCCTTCAAAGCCCCAAAATTTGGTTTCAGATCTAAAATATTTGTTCATGACTTGATAAATGTAACATAACTATACATGTAATATATTGCATTTCAAAAGACCACAGAAGTCTGTTAACAAAACCATTTATAAATTCACTGTTGACAAAGATTTCCTCCGCCTTGAACTTTCTTTGCACATTTTTATCGTCATTATTATTAACTCAGCTAATTTGTCTTGTCAGGGATGTATAGGTTGGGTTTAAACAGATTTGACAGTGGCCTGTCGGATTACTCATCCTGATGCGTTGGAATATGTGACATAAGTCCCTCCCCGTGTAAACAAACATACAAAAACACACATTTCAAATGACCCAAGATGTTCTAACTTTCGCAAAATAGAAAAATAAATCTTGTTTTGATGCAAGACTTATAATAATGATGATGTAATTGACCGTACAGGATTTCAGGGCAGATTTTAAAGTCGCTACTAATCTCGGATGAGTTTCCCTTTTCTTTCACAACTAGTTCACAGAAGTCATCAGTTTTTTGGGGTTGTTTTTTTGTGAATAATTACAGAAGGATTAGTTGCATCATGGGTAAAATGAATCAATCACCTGAAATGAGAGTTTTATAGATTTTACAGCAGCAAGTTAAACCTCTGCCTGGTGTCTTCATACATGAATGTATGTTTATAGATATACTTGTGTTATGTCTGTGTATGGTCCTGTGCACCAATACACAGTCTGTGTGTGTATGTATGATAGGTATGTCTGTTTCATACTTACACTAAATCTATACAGAAATGAGGCATGCACAATAGTATGTCTCAGTGTTTACATGACACAGTGCTTGTTTATGCATCTTTTTTTCATTTTAATAGTCACTGTGATGAACATCTCTTTGTTTTACACTTTCCTTTCCTAATCAATACCAGGATCTCGTTCAAGAAATCATTCTCATGACATGTTTGCTAAATAACCGATTTCAGTGATTTTTATTGACATTTGCGCTGAAACCCATGGGGGGGGGGGTCATATAATTTCCTTTGAGGGAATTTATGAGCACCCCTCTATAATGGGGCATATATCATGTGTAAAAAACAGACATATTGACTTGTGCTTACTAAAACAAAAGCAAGTTAACACAAAATGTCTTTTCGCACCATGCCCTGAGGTCTCCGTTCCCATTTGATGAACAAAAACTGAATGTGCTTATGTTGCACATTTGCTGACAAACTGAGGGGGCATTCAATTTGGCCTGGATCCTTCAGGCCTTTTTGATGAAATATTGTAATAATGCATTGAATGAGCCATGACTTTGATAAAATAAAGGGAGGACTTCCAAACATACAGCGCAGGTATAGACTTGGTCACACTGGCTGGTGCTCATGTCTATGTCTAATAGTGTGTGTGTGTGCTTGCAGGTGTGTGTGTGTATATGTGTGTTCACATGTGGCCTTATCTTTGAATGTCACTGAAACCTGATCAACCAGAGACGTTGAGAGAAAAGAGGAGTCTCCCAGGAAGAGCTTTTTATCTTAAACAATGCAGCCTCTTATTGGCTTTGCACGTTTTATGTGTTTCTTTATCCAAACAAGCATTTTGGGTTTGGGTCCCGTTCTGGTCAAGCTCAGTGTTGCTGTCTGAGATTTATTTTTTTCCCCTTGGCTGTGTGTATTTTTTTTTTTTTTTAATTTTCACGCATGGAGTGGCAGCAGGACAAATGCACAGAACTGTGAAGAACCAACGAAGTGAATTGCCCTTCCCAAAATGCCAAGCCTATAATTTGCAAAACGACAGCGTAACAAAAAAAGAAAGAAGGAGAAAAGGAAAAGAAAGGAAAATAATGTGAAAGAGGGATGGTGAAGAATATGAGTTCTATTGTGGGGGAATATAAAGTGGCACAGAATGTCATTGAGTTGGACATGGGTGTGTAAGAAGTATTGGGAAAGTAGTAAAGAACCAAATGTGTATGCACATATGCAGTACACGCACTGCACAAGTAAGTTCACTCTACCTTGGCACCTGTGCACACAAGCTAAAGTGCACAGCCACACGCTCACAGAGTAACAGTAAACGTAATCAAAGTGTCAGGCCCTATACTCTCATCAAAAAGAATTCATGGGAAATCAATAGGGGACACAAACAGAAGGAGGCTGAGGGAGAAGTCTCTGGTTTTAATAATGTATAATGATAGTATTTCTCCAGGTTCTCCAGAGGGGGCAAAGCGCTCGCACCTCTGAAGTGTGAAGTCAGAGAAGGTGTTGCATCTTTCCTCGGTCACTCTGTTAATTCCCCAACTTAGCCCGAGGTTAGCCATAGGTGTGGGACATGATTGAGGTTACTGATACATCAAATTCTTTGCAGGGCTCCTTCCCCACCCCTTTTCAGTTAGAATATCAACCCTGTGGGGCAAAGCTATTTCATCAAACACTCCACACACACACACACACACACACACACACTGAAGGGTCCAGTGAGTACATCGGGTCTGGGTGCAGATAGAGGTGACGTTTAATAATGAGGGTAATTAGACGTAAACCTTGGAGATCGAATTACATAAGTGGTGGTGCTGCTGATGATTATTGCAAAGGGGATTGTACCGAGCATGAGCCTGAAAATATGGTGGGTGTTTCAACGCTTTATGAAGAACGTACCCTCTTCTTTACCGTCTTTATTACTGTCTCCAAGCTGTGAAGCATGATCAAACTCCGTGTGTGATAGCTAACTGCATTTAAAGAATGTGGTACTATCATATCCCTCTAAACTTCCATCCTCTTCAGTGAATCAGGTGTACCTCATTTTTTTGCCCTTGCTACTGCTCTGTCCGCTACAGTCGGAGCAGCTGACGTTGTCTGACTCATGTACTCTTGTTACGTTGGCTCACCGTCAGGGCGTCTCAGCGAGCTGCCGAGCTGTGTTAGTTGAATGGTTTGTAATTATCCACAGGCCTCCCTTGGGCAAGGCTCCCGGGCACCTCTGCGAGCGCACACTGCTCCACCCATCCATAAACCTTTTTTCTTTTTTTGGGGCAGATGGAAAGCTGGAGAACACACGCATCATAAAAATAAAAAAAAATAAAAGAGTACAAGTAAAAAAAACGAGAGGCTTATTACTGCATGAAAGCTCATTGTACCTCGTGGCATCAGACACGCTTACTAACCAATAACACACAAGTATCATGAGATCTCAAAGAACATAAGGTCTTTAATGGGGAATTTCATGTAGGGCTGTACTCCCACAATGGTTTAAATCCAATCTGTACCTCTTTAGAGGATTGGGGATTAAGCAGGCAGCAGGTAATCCAAAAATACTTGTTCTAGTAATGTCTATAATTCCATGAAGACTCTTTACCCCCTACTGGGACATTCCC